AAAAAATTCATGAACGAAACTGATCAATCAAATTCAGACGGGTACACCTACAGAGCAATCCTTACGGCGCTCTGAACAGAATCAATTAAAATCACGGCAGATCTCATATCGGCTATTCACTTCAGTTTACCTCAGTTGATCAAATTTTCACTCCAACGTCAAATATTCACAAACAAACGATATATTCCTATTGACAGCAATGACAATACCTATGGACTAATGTGTTTGGGGAAATTTCTCAAACAAGATCGCCTATTATATTCAATAACGGATCATTATTTGAAATAATAAAATGTTCTTAGTGAAAAAGAGATTAAATTTCATAATGCGTGAGAAATAGAGAACATGATTTGGAGCAACTGAACGAACTAACAGCGAATAAACAGCATAAGAATCGAAAAACGATAGAACGTTCAAGAGATGAACAAATAAGCACACATTACTGAATAAATATAAGTTAATAAGTAACTGAACGAATGCAAAGTTTGCTATGTACAAACTGATGGATACGATTGAATTAGTGAGTGCATAGTGCAAAACAAATAAAATAATACACTATCGGATGAACGGATTATGAGTCGAACTGAATTTGTCAGTTGAGAATGGAACGATTGCCACTGAATAGCATTGAATTGAAATGTCAATCTGATAAAAATAGTGGTGGCATCATCGCGATGAACGACTGGAAAACTAAACGTTCTGATGATCACTTCTGACGTTTTGCTGAACCCTTCGACGAAGCTGACTCAGCTTTGCGTTTTTGTGCACTCTGAAAGATCGATTCCGGAATTTGAAAGGAAAAGGAACATTGTTAAAAGATATGAGATTAATGATAATTAGATGCATTATGGGAGCCTCCATTTTCGAAATGATTATGTTTCAAAATTATGCATTGCAACGATTTTTGTTACAAATTTGAGCCATTTCCGACTAATAATACGACAGCATTCAACTGAAAACAACGCGTTCCTTTCGACAGGAGTCAATGAACTCTTTCAGCGATGGATTAATATTGAGAACAGAAAACAAAATGCCGTTCCAGCGAACTATTTTTCGATATCACACTGTCCCACCGCACATTAAAAAATCTACTCGCCAGTTCTTGAGAAAACAAATGCAATCCGTTCAATAAATACACTTACAAGATCTATCGTCAAATAAACGGAATGAAAAAAAAACTGAAACAAACAAAAGAAATTTTGAAAGAAAAGCAGAAAAACAGATGATAAAATGAACCTTCGACGTAGACGATGTTTTGTTGGTGTCATTCTCTTTGGCGTTTGTGGCTTGAGCCGACGCTGGTGTGGTGGTCGACTTCGGTCCTCGTTTACTTTTCACATTCTCCACTTCACCCATCTCCTTTTCGATTAACGATATCAGCGTATTGCAACGACGTTGTAATTCCTTGAAAATTCATTCGTCAAACATCTAATAATCGAATCATCGAATCATGAAAAAATCACACCTTTCGTTTAATAAAAATCTATATAGCATGTAGAAGAAAGAATCATCAGATTCAGCCCCATAGCAAAAAATTACGATTCAATTAAAAGTGTTGATTTACCTGAAACCACTGAACTATATCTGAGAGATCATGACTGATACTTTGATGCATCATATGATCATCAAATTAAACAAGTAAACGAATAAAATTACCGTCGCAGTTCGTGATTTTATGAACCAATCGAAACGAAACTNCTGCTCTAACGGCTTGACGCAGTTCATCGTAGACATTATCTTTATCAAAACCCAGTTTATGCAGCTGACATACCATAAATCTAAAATATCGTTACCAACTCACTGATCACTCCTTTATTTCTGAACTCTTCCAATCAAGTTTTCAAAGCAGATCAACTCCGAACACATTGTGAATTTTGAACAACTTCAGTCATCTCTTTCTTATCTCATTACCAGTTACGGCCATTCTCGCGAAGCCGTGCATGCTAAAGATATAATTTTCCGCATAATCAAAATTTTATGCTGACGAAACTAATTCCATTTCAAATTTCATGAAGTAATGAAACGATGACAATAACACAAAACCAAAATAAATACCGATCCTCCTCTTCCGTGTAATTCTTTCCTTTATTGGTACCGTACTGAATACGTAACTGATGAAATGGCGCTTTATATTTGGCAATCTTCTCGTCGAGTGCTTTCTTTATACTTTGACGACGCTGAATACGCGCTTCACCCTAAACATTCACTATTCCTTATTGAACACATTCTCAACGAAGTATCCAAAACTCTATGATGACTCCTATCCGAACAGTATCTCGTATAAAATGCCACATACACTCAAGGTTGTGAACAAACGAATTTTCGAAAAAAGAAATTATCTGCGCGCATGTACAGAAGCAGTTGAACCACATTTTCTCTTTCATCAAAATTATAT